CTATTGCACTTATTCAGAAGAATCAAACGGCACTATACTCTTTAGATGTCTCTCTATGGACGGAACTACAACCAAAAATACATATTCATTGTTATTTAAAAAAGTTGTAAAAAATAAAGTGCAAAAAGGTAGAAAAATACAAAAGTCCGCCATTTTGTTTTTTTTTCTGCACCGACCATAGCCAATTCAATACAGAATATGAAACCACTTTGTTTTTTGCTTCTGGATGATTTGTTTCCAAGAAATTATGAAATTCACCGACGAATTGGACGAGTTTATGCAGTCATTTTCAGAGTCGTCATTTTGAAATAAAGAAAAATTTTGTTTAAGTAGTTTAATGTATGTACTTTCACTGTAATAAATGTACTGTAGAAAATCCTAAAGAAGAAACCGTGGCAGTCCTGATAATCAAGCAGTAAAAAATAAATGATTATTGGCATCAAATCGTTTCGTTTCGATAGCTTAGAAAGGACACAGAAGAAGTTACTGATAATAATACGGATAAGAAAAAAAAATGAAAACTGTACTAAACCACCTCCGATTTCCATTAGTAGTGCCAAGTACGGATCACCACTCACTGACTTGTTAATCAAATATGTAGTGAAAAATAATGAGATGAAATCAAAATATTAAACGTCCTTCAGGTTAAGATCTTGCCCAAAACAATAAAACACTGAAAACTTTTATTTTCAAAACTTTCACAAAATGTATTATAAATTTTTATATGCTTTTAGAATGCTTAGATATGTCAACATTAAGCAGAAGAGACAAGGCCCTCATAAGAAGACATAAGAAGTACTGTTATTAAAAAGGTATTCGAACTATCAGTTTGATAAAAAAGATTGAATGTTCTTTGTGACGATTATTTTTATACATTGTACTGCTATATTGTGATTATTTCTTTTGTAATCGTGCCAATGACTTTTTTGCGGATATAGGTTAATTTAATTTAAAAAATAATTACTTTCTTCAATTAACTGTTATTAAAAAAAAATTGACATTTTTAGAAGTGTCAACGGCTTTCTCAAACTCCTTTACCAAAATAAAAAATACTGAAGTCTAGAAGCATATCATTGAATCTGAAGTTTTTGTACTATGGTAATAAAAACATTACAATTTGTTTGTTTAAACTATTATCAAGATTTAAAATTATTGGGAACACCAGACAAAGTAAGTATAGATTTTTAAACAGACTGGTGGTACTGCGGAGAAAACAAATAATGAAATATAGAATTAAACCATCAAAAGTAAAGATTTCTATTAAAAAATCTACAAGGTTCTTTATCGTGTATTTTTATTTAAATAATATATCTCTCACTCTATTGAAAAATCGACATAAAAATAATTTTCTTAAACAGTCGGGACATAGCTTATAGTTTTTAGTTTTCTTATTTTGGTGCATATTGAAATTATTAAAAGCAGATCTGTATAATACAATTAGCAATAATTTTATATAGTTGGGTTATTCATATAACAGTGTATGATAGTATATGTAATGCAGAACATATACAGTTTTTACAAACATCGTTAAAAATTTAAGTTTATTACCAAATTAAAGAAGAGATAATACATGACAAGGTGACAATTAACACTGATCAACAGATAGTTTGGTAGAGTTTTTTCATGATTAAACCTTTTTGGTAATAAAGATTGTAAATACCATAGATGATCTATAAACAAATAGACTGAGTGCTACAACAATACAGCCGCGTTCCTCGAGTCCGACAGAGAAAACTAATGCATCGCAATAAATGCATCTTTTTTTCTAATTTGCCAGGTTTATCAAGCACATGACCTAAATGGCCAATGAGAAGCTAACGTGATCGATAAATCCTGCCCATTAGAAATATATACAAGAACTGCTTTGTGTCAGTTGTCTCTGTCGTACTGAGTAACGGGACTGTAACGCAGCAGTCAGTCTATTTGTAATGTCTGTGGTAAATACCTTATTATTTAACCCTTCAAAATTGTTTTGTTTCTGTATCACAAACTTTTCAAGTCCAAATGTACTTTACAACACAACCAATTTACATACATAAAATATATCATAAAATACATATTTGTTATAAACAATGTATATACCTACATCTACTGTTTTGTATGTCACTTCATATGGGAAGAGTGGGGTGAGTTGGAAAGTGGTAGGCAATGTCTACTTCCATAATCCCCTCAATGTTCGTGTCACTATTAGCCATATGCAAGCAGTAAATGCCATTTGCAACTAGACAGTCTGTGATACTTCGAAAAATAAGAGATTTTTCAATAATAACGTGACGAACTCACAAGGGATATGCCACTTTTTTATTGACGTTACTAAATGTGTAAAATTTAAGAAAAAAAGAAGAAAAAGTAAAAATCAAGTGGAAGTATCGGACGACCGCGCAAAAGATGGAGTGACCAACTTCCATAGAGGTATTAATCCGCCAAAGAACAAGCAGAATTGCTTATAAAAGAGGAAGAAGAAATGTGTAAAATTGAGGTTAGAATTTCAAGTATTCATTTTTATATACCAACTATATAATTGCCGAGACTCTTGATTGTCCAAACATGAGGCGACTGTCGCTGACCAGTAGCGTTTTTTGTGGAAGCAATCTTCAGTTTTTAAATCTCTAGCGGTCATTGCATCTTCGACATGTTCTCTCCATGACCGTCTTGGTCTGCCTCGTTTTCTTCTAGTGGGCGGTGTCCATTTTTCTATCTTTTTTGGCCATCTATTTTCAGACATTCTCTGCAGGTGTCCATACCAGTTTAGACTTTTGGCTTCGATAGTATCTATTATGTCTAGATCAATTTCCATGTCTCTCCTAATGTCTACGTTCCTCGCCCTATTAAGTCTAGTCTGCCGGCAACATCGTCTCCAATAGTCCATTTCCATTGCCATAATTTTTTATTTGTTTTTTTTTGACTGATTTCTCAAATTTCGGCGCCGTATAACCAAATACTTTCTATTTTACTATTCCACAATAGTCCGTGTGGCAGTCTATAGCTATATTATAAATATAATATATTTTTATATTTGATACTTATATCACTTTCCAGCTTTTTCAATTTTGATATAACAGCGAAAATGTACATATACATTTTTTTCTATTTAAAACCATAACTTTTGTTCTTCATACAATGTTGCAAAACTGAAATTTTGTTATTTTGGTTTAAATTATCTGGCCGAATTCCTGGCCAGAATTATCTGGTCTGTTATACCTAAGTTTTGGAATAGCCCTAACCAGGAAGACATAGTCATGGTTACGTAACTTGAGAGGATGGTACGGATGTATCAAATGAACTTTTCAGAGCAGCCGTCTCTAAAGTTCGAATGGCTATGATGATTGCCGACCTCTGCCGCGGAGATGGCACTTGAAGGAAGATGTATCAGGGTACTAAAACTTGAAATAATAGCTTCAAAGTTATAAACAATTGGTTTCATGATTTTCTTAGAAAAAAAAAAGATAAAATAAAATACAAAATAATAATCTAAAAAGGAAAAGTTGCGATCACAATAGTAAAGCGTTAAAAAATTTACTCAAATTTGAAATTAAAAAAGCCTATATAAATTAGTAGATAGATTTAAAAAGCGTAGATGATTGTTATAGTTATAATGGATATATTTGAATTTTTCCATTCCCGCTAATAACACAGGCCGACAAGCCTGAGACCTAGAAAATGGTATACTTTTGCAAAGGTTTTTTGGTGCGCTGAATACAAATCTGAGCTCCAAATTTCTAAATTGGCTCTGGTTTTGTCAGAAAACCTAGCCTAAAAGTGCAAAAATTGCTGTTTTCAGTAATTTTTGAGGTTATGTAGGTTATTTCTTTCCTAAAATAATATTTATAACACTTTAAAGTACGTATTTCTCTTTCAAATGGGTATGGGTAAATAATAAGAATTAGTATAAATTTAGATTTACTTTTCATTTATATAAAAAATCTATCTTGCTTTAATTCAAATGATCGTATGAGTGTCTTACGTCTGTTTTCAACTAAAACGTCATTTTCTTAAGTGATCAGCAGTAATCTGCCATAATTCGTACGTCTTAACGACCTTGAAAATGACGCGATTTCTGCTTGAAGTCTTTGCCTGATTGTGGACTAAAAAGGGTACTTACTAGGGATTGGTTGGTAGGTGTATTGGGTGGCGAATAAACTGGCTTGCTGTACGTGATTTTTTATACAAATAATTAGCAATTAATCTTATGGATTCTAAGGTTAGGTAGGTTTTCGTGTTTCTATATTAAAAGGTGTGGTTTGTAAGGTTTGATAGGGTTAGAGGTGTTGTGTTTCAATCAGTAAACACAATTACTGTATGTAATTTTATTTTGGGTTGAGTTTACCGAAAGTACAAGCTGATTATAACCGCAAATGTCAAATATGGAACAAAAAATTTCGGTACAGCAGTGTTGGCATGTTTTTATAATGTATATCCTGTATACTTCAAATATAAAAAGATAATGCTTTAGAAAACTACATTTTGTTTATATTATGTTATGAATTCTGCAATTTTTGATTTATATAAAACAACAATGAGAAAATATGTGTTTCTTTGGAGAATAATTGCAGTTAATTATTAGACATTTTTTTGGCAATTACCTTTTGATAGACTAGGGGATAGATTTGGCAATCGTCAAATCAGCAGTTGCCATATTACAACAGATGTTTGCAATTAATCTCGAAAGAGTCAAATATCTACTCGTTATTGCTTCATATAAATTAAAACTTGCAGAATTCATAAAATAGTATAATAAAATTGTACTTTTTAATAGCTTTATCTCTTTATATTTGAAGCAGACAAATATGCATTATAAAAACATGCCAACACTGCCAAACCGAAATATTTTGGTTTGGGGCGTGTAGGTTTGAGTTTTCTGAATTTAGATTTTTCGCTATACTATAATATATTCATATGGTCTGTAAGTTTTTAAAACTAAGAAATTTTAAAATGCGATAGCTCAGCGAAAAAAGAAGATATCGAAATAAACTCAACGCCTTTTAAAAGATCAAGGCTTAAAATTTTTAGATTTTAAGCCTCAATTTATAACAGTTTCTGAGGGAAAATTATATTACGATGCTACATGACCTCAAAAATGGTCAAAAGCGCTATTTTGCACTTTTTGGTTAGGATATCTCAGAATCCAAAGCCAATTTAGCAATTTGGAGCTCAGATTCGGATCCGCCGCACAAAAAACCTTCTGAAAAGTATGTTGTCGGTCTGAGTAATTGTTAAAATTATCAAAATTTAATACAACTTTATGATTCATTCAACTTAAGATTATTCAGCAAAAATAATTTGACATTCTGCACTCAAGTAAGAACCTATCCTTAAGTCAAGGGGCATTGTAATTTTAGAAATAATACTCTATAATGTAACCTTATAAAATTATGCAGGCGATTGATCTGCTTTTTTATCCTTGGGCGAGCTCGTCGATTTGGTATTCGTTGCACAAGCGATTGAAGGCAAACTCTCTGCAGCCGCTGCTCTTTCAGCCAAGAATCTATCGAAGTCACTACTGGTAACTGCTTCCTCAACGCCACTCTAAAACATTTATATTAGTATTGGAAGACGTTCTAGCCTAATAGTTGAATATAAAAGCAATTCGTAAAATAAGCTTCAACAAAATACTAAGAAAAGAATGAGCAGTTTTAGCAGGAAGATGTTTAAGCATATGCAATAATAGATACGATGGATATCTTTTGAGTTTTTACAATTCACATTATTATATCGGAATTATTTTTTTTTAATAAACTTAATAATAAACATTTTTGTGAGAAAGTTTACATTTCTTATAAAGGTTTGTATTGTATAAATTTTACTATTGCTTAATTTGTTATATTTTTATCTTATAAAACTGTAGCGTCCTTTCTCTTCATCTCTCTATCTTCCTCACTCACTGACTCACATCCCCCGCCACATCCTCCTTCTCAGTCCCTCATTACATCCCTTCTCCTAACCTCCCTCCTGCTCATTTGTCTGTCACAAAAGATACTATCTCTTATTCTTCTTCTGCAACCACTGTTTCCTTAGTTTATATTCGGAAATTCCACTGTTCTATTTGTTTCCCTGTATCTATTTGGCCCGATATTGTTTTTTCTTCCCACGGCTTCCAGTGTAATGTTTTCTTAGCCCATCTATACCTTATTCCATTAAGCGATGCAGGGCATATAAACAACGATAAATTTAACAGATAATTGTTAAAGGTGTTCCAAATGAGTCTACTCGTTCCGATAAGTAACAGTATAATTATGACACTTTATTTTTTTTTTCTTTTCTCAAATATTCGTGTCTATTGCATAGTAAATAAATTAATGTTTTCACTGAATACAAAGTAAGTGAAAAAATAATCCGATTTATAAAATTAATGAATATTTTATGCATAAATGCAAGTAACAGTTCTTCAAAAATATTTAAAAACTAACCGAAATGTCCACCTTTATTTCGTCTGGCGACGTTATCGGCGGGTCATACCAGTTCGGACACGATTTAATGTTTACATTTTCCTGCATCGCTTATTGAATTTTACTATAGTACCGCCATCCTTGCTACATGTCTGGCCGATCTAAATTTATTTATCATTATGGTTGTACTAATGACTTCTAATTTAATTATTCTCTTAATACATCTTATGGACTTCTTATCTTTTAGTCCGATATTTAAATTAGTCTCTTCTTATTTATCGAGTACTTTAGAATATGTTAAAGCATTTCCGATTCTTCTATGTAAGTCCGTTTATGTCTTTTTTGTTGTAATGTCTTGCTCTAAGTAAATATATTTATCAACCACGTTTACGCTTTTGTTCTCAAGCTTAACGTTAATTTGTTGATCCGGCCCTCTGTTATTATTTAACACGTTAAGTGCCACGTACACCCAATTGAGTGCACACGACTACCCCTCGCTCGTGCCAAGACAAAATCTTGAGAACTACTCAGGAGTGTCAGAGCTATATTTTCTTTATTTATTATAATATAATAGTTTTACAAATACCATTCGGTTTCTCTTGGGAAAACCAAGTTCACCAGATCTTAGTACACTGAACTGACCAACAAGTGGTAGACAAAATAGCACACAGAAATGCGACCGATTCGGCTTTGCCAGACTTTACAATTTTGGATTTACATAGATAATGGTTTGTAGATTTTGCTAACCTGGACTCTAGACTGTGTTTGGACTAAACATCAATCAATTACATCAAATCTCAATTACATCCTCAAATACAAATAATTAAAAATAATCAATGGATTCTGCAGACGCTCTGTCAAACAAAACATTTATTTCTTCCCGGCTTGCTAAAGAAAATTTTTGTTGATTGGGTATATGTATGTTCGCACTACTGTACCACGTGACTACGTGATCACCACAAATTGAGTGCATCACTTTCCTTGCATGTACTCTAATGTACTAAGCTGTAACTTAACGACTTTTTCGTTTCTCACTGGATAAAAGGACTAAAATCGACGATATATGGTGTAAACACCTCTAAACATATAAACAACAAGTAATTTGAAAAGCAAAAACATGAATTGTTCCAAAAGATAATCTTTCCCAGGTTTTGTAAAATTTAAAAGATAGCCATCGTATAGCACCTATCCACCACATTAAACCCCGGTTTAATAACTAATTTTAAAAGCTTTATGCCGTTTAGGATAACAATTTACTCACAACTCTATCAATGGGCATCTATCAGGTATAGTAAACGCCACTTAAGTTTCGTCGCGTACATTTTACCCATTTTAGCAGCGTTGGTTAAGTAAATCGAGGCAATTAAACAGTGGTAGGCAACTACCTAACACGTAGAAATAACTAATACATAATATAGATTTCGCGCATCCTCATCATAATTGGTGTTTGCACGCATTCATTTTGCCATGCTTATCTTTAAAGAGGGAGTGTCAATTACTGGGATTGAAGCGCCATTAACCTATCTTCTCGAAAGCATATATTTCCTTCGATGACTTTAGCGATTTTTTCGATCTTTCTCTTTTAGAATCTGCTTCTGTAATGATTAATAATTTTAGGATTATATGGGTCTTCGTTCTGGCTATATTGCCAAGCTATCTCTGTCGATTGAGCGATGGTTGTTATTGCTGTTTCACATACTTCACATTTAAACAGAATAGCTTTTTTCCACTGCTTCGGAATATGTTCGTTAGAATATATTGGTTGAATAAACCTTGCTATTTATTCATTTAGTCTCTCTCCATTCTGCTTTAGGAGCTCATGTATAATACCACTCTCGCCAGGCGACTTATTATTCTTTAGGTTTTTTATAATACCAAAAATGTCTTCATTTGTTGTCACCAAAAATGTCTTCAAGGACACAACCATTTCTGGTTGTATTCTTCCGCATTTAATACACTTTCAAAATATCTTGTCCACCATTCTAGCTCATCATCTATCGTTCCTATTCATTGCCCTTCGTCATTTTTAATTTTAAATATTTTTATATGGAATTAAACCATAAATGATTGTAATAAGAATTACATTTTAAATATGTTGTTACGTTTCTATTTCCAATCTGGAAATTTTATAGACATAACATGTGTATGATGACAGGCATAGACATATAATACCTAGACTTGCGCGTTGCAATTTAAACCCGTTCCCCAGGTTTGACAGAAAAAAAAAGTTGCGAGAAGTCCTTGCATCTCTTTCTAATTGACGGGGTTTATCCTCCACTTGGCCATCCCACTGGCGATTGTTTGGTAATGGAGGGTTACGTGGTACATAAACCCCCGCCATTAGAAAGAGATGCTAGGACTGCTCGTATCTTTTTCTCTGTGGCACTTAGGAACGGGTTTAGATTACAGAGCTAGCCTAAGTACTCTTCTTAGGGTGCCTGTCCGTTCCGAACGTTGGCGATCATTCTGGCTATGATGATTTTGTTGGTTGCTATACGAAATAGCTGTGTTGAGGTCTTTCTATACCATGCTCTCAGGTTAGCAAGCCAGGATATTCTTCTCCGTCCTGGGGCTCTTTTCCTTCAATTTTACCCTGCAAAATGCATTGGAGTAGCTCATATCTGCCTTGATTTCTCATTATATGTCCCAAGTACTCCAGCTTACGCTCTTCACAATTTTGACCAAGCCTAAGTATTAAATGTCTAAAATTACAGGTCATGTTATTTTTTATGGTTAGATTACAATTTTTCAAATTAATTGTCTACATTGTACCGGGTGGTCCAATAAGCCGATCTCTTTGGGCTATATATCAGAAACTATTCATGTTATAATTTAGGCGAAAAAATTCCTTGGTAAAAGTGGCCAAGAGAAATCGCTGGATAAAACTTTTAAGTTTCTGGGTTAACCGCTAGGGGGCGTAACCTGTGAAGAAAACTTTGAAAACCAGTTTTTTTTGGGAAATATGCCGAATTATACCAAGTGTTAAATAAGTAAACTAGAAAGAGGCCTTAAATCTGCACAAAGTTGTTCAAGTACTTTTTTTTTATTCTTCAAATAAAGGGTGGGGAGAGTGGGAAAGTATTTGTGGATAAATACCTATAACTTTGGTTTGGATTAACCGATTTTAACGAAATTAGTGTAATTAGAAAGAGTGTTGATGAATTAATTTACATCTACTATAAAATAATTGCATTTAGTTTTAATTGTCATAGGTAGAGGGTACTTTCGAATAGAAAAAATTAAAATTTGTTTTTCTTCAAAATGTTTAATGGAAACACCTATTTATTGTAAATTATAATGGAACTGGATTAAATTCGTAACAAAATGGCGCCAACCGCATGTTAATAGCTTTTGTCGAACTCGAGATATGAATAAAAACGCATAAACATAAGTAAGTATAATATTGACTCATCCTGTGTTATAAATTAAATTAAAAAATAAGTCAGTAGGTACTTTCAAATTTTTTTATAGCAGAATCTTAAAGTTGATACCTATTTTGACCATTGTTATTTCATATGATTAAAAATAGTTTTTTCGAAACTAATAGGCTACGACAATGAATTTGACGGGGATTTATTGTTTATTTATTGACATCAGTCAAAACATTGTTAAGAAGTGTTATATTATAAATCGAATTAAAGATTGCACTTTTTTAATAGATAATAATATTGGTAATATTAGTAATTAATTATCAGTACTAATAATTCGTGATGATTATATCAAATGCAGAATTGTGTGATATGATTGGAGTTTATGTCGAATTTCACCAAAATAAGATCCTGACAGGAGATATTGTGGCAAAGAAGTATTTGAAAGAAAGACAAGAAGATTAAGAGAAACTGGTAGTTTTCATCGTCATTGTTTTAAACGACGACGTAGTAGAGGTATGACCGAAGATAATTCAATCAATGTTCTTGCTTTAATTCAACAGAATCCACATATAAGTAGTCGGCAAATCTCTATAGAATTAAACATACCCAAAACTACTGTTCTAAGGATTTTAAAACATCACAGGTTGGTTTTTCATATTATAAAGTGAACGTTTAGGTCAGAAACTTGAAAGTCCCTTTAGATTCAAGTGTTATTTTAATATTCCGATAAAAACGGCAAAACAGCGCTTTTATCCTTTTATCCGTTTCTTAAAAATACTTATGCACGATTTATCTTGTGAAACAATTGTGGAGTTTTCAAGATTTTTTGAGTTTTAGTAAATATAGTAGTTTCTTTTTCACCAATATTTGTTGTTGTGTTTTTTAGACTGCATCCTAATCATACAGTTCTCCACCAAGCTTTACATGAAAGATTTTGATGCAAGGCTGGATTACTGCAATTGGATATTAGGTCTGCTAGAAGAACAACCGCATATCATGCCAAAGATTTTGTGGACAGGCGAGGCCACGTTTAATAGTGCGGGTGTTGTTAATCTGCATAATATGCATTATTGGGCTGAAGAAAATCCGCACTGGATACATGAGGTGCAGGTTCAAGGTAGATGGAGTCTTAATGTTTGGTGTGGTATAGTTGGTGGAAAGATCGTAGGTCCATATTTCTTTGATAGAACTTTAAATGCCGAAACATATTTGAATTTTCTGGAAAATCATTTTTTTTCTATTCGAAAATACCCTCTATCCATGAAAATTAAAACTAAATGCAATTGTTTTATAGTAGATGTAAATTAAATCATCCACACTCTTTCTAATGACACTAATTTCGTTAAAATCGGTTGATCAAAACCAAAGTTATATGTATTTATCCACAAATAATTTTCCCACTCTCCCCACCCTTTATTTGAAAAAATAAAAAACAAGTATTTGAACAACTTTGTGCGGAATTTAGGCCTCTTTCTAGTGTACTTATTTAACACTTGGTATAATTGAGCATATTTCACAAAAAAATTGTTTTCAAATTTTTCTTCACAGGTTACGCCCTCTAGCGGTTAACCCAGAAACTTTAAAGTTATTTCCAGCGATTTCTCTTGGCCACTTTTACTAAGAAATTTTTTCTCCTAAAGTTATACCATGAATAGGTCTGTATATATAGCTAAGAGATCGGCGTATTGGAGCACCCGGTACATTGCCCAATAATCTTAATTTAATTTTTTTTTCGAAAATGATTTCCGCATTGGAAATCGAAACGTCAAAACAAATGTAATTCTCATTACAATCAATTTTAGTTTAAGCCCATATAAAACAATATTTAACTTAAACATGCCACCAGAAAATAATTGCAGAACCTCTTCATATTCGACATTGTATGTTAATTTTATATGACTTATTCTAATACTTATTCTTAACCTCTTCATTTCTGCTGTTTATTTACCCAATTTTTCGTCAATATTGCTTAGTTTTTGTTTCAGAAATGATCTTTTTGCATGCAGAAACATTTTTGTTTCTTTTGTGCGTTGTTAGTTTGTCTGTTGGTATTACCAATTAGGCCGTTGTCCTTTGAGTTGGTAGTAATTCAACTATTTGTTTTCTAAATTAATTTCTGATTTAATTCTTTTGTAGCTCTCTACCATTACCTCTGACTTTGTTTACTTTTTGGTCTATGGTTTAAAGAAATCATTTGGTCCATCGTTGTATGTAATTGCTTGTATGCCTTATGCGTTGTATGCCTTCCTATGTACTAAATTCTAAATCATTTAGAACTTTTCAAGCATTTTTAATCATCAGAATCATCTGTTCAGACACATTTTCCATAAAATGGTGTTTTACATTTTCATATTAAATTATAACATATCTATGAGCTTGTTGAAATCTTCATTAAAATTAGTATAATTTTAAAAAAGACTTAGAGAACATGAAAAAGTTAGTCAACTATGGTGCTACACGTATGCAATGAGGTTAGTGACGTTTTTTTGTATTCAATCCTAACAGCAACTTACCGTTCTACCTAGCCAACCTGCCATTTCATCAATTTCAAGATCTTCTGGATTCTGCGCAACATATAAAGCAACGTCATATTTTGAAGAAAAATAAAACAAATAAGCTTAAAGAGAAAACACCACGTATATTAAAATATAGTTGGAGAACGATAACATTTAAATAAAATAATGACAAATAATTGTTGTAACTTTTATTATCAAGAATTTAATAATAAAATCAACGATACACAATTTATAGTTTATTACAAAGTATGCTTCGTCCCTCTTTAAGGATAATAGACCGAATCTCCCAACTACTATCTACTCACGGAAAATTTATTCGGCCCTCCTTTATAAATTATAAAAGTAAGCAAAAAAACGCCATAAAAGTAAGCAAAGCTTGACAAGGCTCCTAAACCGGGTGGTATTACTATGTAAGCCATAAAACTGTTGGAAGATGACAACATCGACATGTTGATAACAATTTTCAATGTCATGTTCCAACGGATTGGCTTTATTCAATATTTATAATGAGCCCTAAGTCACAAAGAGCGGCAAAATGCAAAGACCACCGACTAATCTGTTTAATTAGCAATCTGCTTGCAGTATTCTTCCGGATACTCCGCACAAGAAAGCTGGAAGAGCTACGCGGGGAGACACAGTTTGACTTTAAAAGAGGAATTGGTACACGTGAAGCAACTTTCTATTTGTATACGCTTGTACAAAACTGCATGGATCAACGAAAGGATATATTCATCATATTCGTCGATTATACCTTAAAAAGTTTGTCGAAAAAGCGTTTGATACCTTAAAACACGATGCAATGAAAAAAATGCTACACAACGCTAACATTGACGAGAAAGATATAAAGTTTTTCAGAATCTCTATTGGAATCAAAGAGCATGAGCGACGCTAAACAAATCAATGAACACAGAGGAATTTGAAATTTTAACAGGGATGCGACAGGAGTATATTTTGTTTCGTGTACTCTTGAACCTCTATGTGGAGAATGTTTTTGCAGAGACACTTAAAAGCTCCGAGTGTGACATAAATATCAACTCGTTAACTCGGAAAATATTGACCGCACGAAAAAATTTTCAAAGAAGAAATTGTAGTAAATTGCATTTACAACAATTTCAGTCCGTACGCTTTTTGTTTCAAGTTGAAAATGGCGGAGATATTGAGAAAAAACAATTCACCTTTAAATTCAAGATGGCGGCAAACGTGGCGGAATATAGTCGCAATTTTAAATTTACACTACTATTGACTCCCTAAAAGTTAGGATAATAAAATTTGGGGTAGCTCGTCATGCAAAGTTAGGCCTTTCTTCCTCTAACTTGGCTGTACTAAGATACAGATATGATAGAATCATTAATTTTCTACAGTCGATCGATTTATACAATCATATAAGTGTAACATGTCTAGTGTCTTATAGGACCAACTGTTGATGACCAATTAGGAGTAAGTATTAAAATGTGGAGGAAAATTGTGAAACCATCAATTTTTACTACTAGAAACTAGACACAGAAACAAAAATTACTCAAAAACTATCAAATCAATTCCGAACCTGTCCGCACAGGTTCGGATCCTATCCAGAACTTAATTTTTTTGGTTTTATTTTTATATCAAATTAAACTTAAAAAATAAAAATAATAAATTATAATAGCTAAAAGCAACTCTAAAATCTAGTCATCATCTGTGTAAAAAAATATTTTTTTGTGCTCGTTTTCGTTCTCCAACTATTAGCAAAATTTAAAGAAAACTCACGGATTGGTTCTTTTGAGTTACAGTACTCAAGCCTCCCGAAATCTGATCCGGATTGAGATTATCTTTATAGGTACTTCCGCTGCAAACAGAAAATAATTCATTATGTTTATTCAATATTGATTTCACTCTATACCAACCTTTGCTTGGAGCTTTCGTAAGTAACATTCCTAGATTGGGCAAACATATCAAATTCATCACTAGGTACTTTATCAATTTTATTAGCTGATGGATCCCCTCCGGCCTTATTCGGGGTAAGAGCTGTAATAAAATTAGTTTAGCAAAAAAAACATTATATTTGTCTTTAATAACTAGTTTATACCCAATTCCTTATATGAATCGGTCATTTCAGAAACAACATGAGTCAATTTTTAGCAAAATTGACATTTCTTCATAAATCCGTTTTTTATATGTCAACGCATCATTCTAAGCAGAAACGACATCAGTCCCGACTTCCTTTAATAAACTACAGCTTAATACAAAAACCTATTCCATTTTAAAACCACATGAAATTGACTGATGTTGTTTCTGCACGGAATTGTCATTGTAAACAAAACGTTTACGAGTAGAAAAAAGTAAAAAAAAACAAAGGGTAAAAAAATACACTTATAAGTCAGACATTATTAAGAAAGCGAGGCTCTGTGGTGTGGGGAAGAATATGAAAATTATAAAGGTAATATTGCACCTGCAAGAAAACCAGGAGAAGACTGTTGGTAAGTTATAAGGTTAAGTTAGTTTTAAAACATAAAATTATTTGCTTGCCAAATTCAGAAGCATGCTTACCAAGAATGCACAAGATTAATACTTACAAGGGCTTGTGGGAAAGTGTGAAGTAAAACATAAACGGCATCGAAACAAAAATCCAAAAAATAGAGGATATAACATTAGTTACTCCGTGACAGGCTCGGGTGGCAAAATTGCTGTTTGCAAAAAGGCTTTCATGGGAATTCACACTGTGAGTCATAAACAAATTCGAAGAATTTCTAAGCTTCTTGTACAAGGAAAAGAACCATTAGATAAACGTGGAAAAAACATTTCAGGGAATGCTAAGTCTGAAAATTTAGTACAACAGATTAGGACACATAATGAGAGTTTTGCCACTAATATTGCACATTACACAGGGAAAGAGAAGCATTACTTAGACTAGACAAAAAATTGAATGTGCGAATTATGTATGAACTATTTTGTGCCAAATTACCTGATAATAATAATTCAGTGAAGTATTGATTTTATTTAAAGATTTTCCAGGAACATTTTTCTCTATCTTTTGGACGTACACAGGCAGACACTTGCTGTGAATGTGAACAATTAGAAATAAAAATTAAGAGTCCATCTTTAAACAAGACAGCAAAGCGTGTAGCACTTGCGGAAATAACTGTACATAAAAGACGTGCAAAAAAGTTCTACAATAAAATGGCAGAATTTGCAGAGATATGGAAGACAGATGCCAGTGTATGTGGCCTGACGTTTGATTATATGCAAAATCTTCTACTTCTACACTTTTTCCTGTGCAGGAAACTTTTTACTTACGTCAACTAACCTACAACGTCTTTGGAATTCACAATATGCAAAAAAATCAATGAATGTTTTACACCTACGATGAGGGTCACGCTCGAAAGGGTCCCAATGTAGTTGTTTCATTTCTTATGGATAATATCAAGTCTGAAGTGCCTACTGCTGTTAAACATCTTCACCTAATCTGACAGCTGTGTCGGTCAAAACCGGAATCATACCGTAGTGAGATTTCTACTTTCGTTAGTAGAAACTGGAAGGTTTGAGACCATAAACCAGTACTTTCCACAACGTGGCCATTCTTTCTTGCCGAACGATAGAAACTTTGCGACAATGAAAAGGATCATAAAAAACTTTGACCGTGTTTACTACCACCCTAAAGAATACAAAGAAATGATAAAATGGTGGAAACATTGAATATTTTTGACATTAAAAAGTGGTGGCCTAAACATTACAAAAAAAACATGTTTGTCAACCGACTCAGTGGACAGAAAACAAGAAAGGAATAAAAAAATCACTTTCCACATTTCAAACTACTCCCATTTTGTTTATTCTTCAAATCAACCAGGGACTGTAACAGTATCAAAATGTATTAATGGCTTTATCTCTAATAAATTTAAACTTAATAAAACTCAATTTTTACCATCAGTTCTGGCCTATCCGGATGGTAAAGTACCAATTAATAAAAAAAATTGAAGATATATGTAAGCTCATGGACTACATACCAGAGGAAAAGAGACCATTTTTTGAAGAGATTATGCAATGGCCTACTACTGATGTAATTAATGATGATTAATGCTTTTATTTTGTTTGACAATTGATAAAGACAATAAATAATTGATGGATTCGACCGTTACTTGATGGAAATTCATTTTATGTAACAATAAAACACTGAAAACTTTGTTTTCAAAACTTAGCTGTAGTGATAAGAGTTTAAAAAAAAATTTGTGGAAGTTTTGAAAACAATTCTTCAGTGTTTTATTGTTACAAAGACAATAAAATTTAAAAAAAAATTATTTCTGTTCTGAAGCAACAAGTCACTTTTTAAAAAAAACCACATTATGACTTGGGATTTTTTTTAACAAATGTGTAATGCATAATGCACAGGATAGTGAAATATTATTTTAACAATTAATTTTAAAGCATTTTTTCCAATAGCGCTTTGAAACAGTTTTTTGTGATTGGCTCAAAATTATAATTTCTGACTCATGTTGTTTCTGAAATGACCAATTCATAATTGTGTGTATTTGTATCCTTCTGTCTTCATTTACAAATTTTCTGACAAATAAGTGTTCTAAATTATTTTTCTATTTAAATTTTCCACTTATTCAGTTCAATTCATCTTTCCTTTACATGAAACGTTTGTATACGTCTTAACTATTTAACGTTGGTAGAATTGTTGACAGTTGTCACTCCTACACTTGTTAAAATGTCACTTGGGTAAAAACTTCACTGGAAACTTACAGTACATTCAACCAACTTACACCTCTAAACGATTAATGGAATTCGCAGAAAACCTTTCGTTGTTGTAAAAGATACGGTAACTGAAGTGGAGTTCTCCATAATCTTTTGAATTACTTTGTTTAGAATATTTTTAGTAAGAATTTAAGTAGAATTGTAAGAATCGTTCTTCGGAGAACGATTTCCGAAGTGGAAATTGAAACGTCAATAAACGTATTTTTATCTTTAATTGTGGCTTATTCCCAGTTAAATAGCAATTAATTTAATTATGTTTGATAAACAGTTTAGAAATGGTTGTAAACCGTACATAAATAAATTAAAATGTTTCCCACAATTATTTTATTTTTATATAGTACAAGTATTTAAAAATTTAAATATATTTACCAAAACCGTAACTTTAACCCGTAGTCGCAGACGTCTTAAAAAAGGTACACTCTAACAGACATATGGTCAATCTAACCACCACTATTTAAATTGACAAAATGTTCTAGTTTACTCCGATGTATTTTTTAACAAAAATTAAAAGTTATATTTCAGTACTTTGTATATCTACTTTGAATATAAATTATCCTTAGCACGGTAGTATTTGTTTCAGGAAAAAATTATTAAACAAGTAGGTGAACGAAATTTATAGTCGATTTATTAATTATCTCATAATTCCATGAGAAATTTTATAGGAACCCGAGCAAGTAAAAACTCGTAAAATGGCGACACTGTTAGAGTGAGCACTAGTTTCGTCAACAGTAGCGTAGATATCTAATTTTAAATTAAATAAAAGTTTTTACTTTTATTTAATTTTATTTGCCAAAAAGTTTCATTTTCTATTCTAAAGTTTAAATAAAAAATATCGGTGTTATTAACTTCTGTGATATATCTTGGGAGTGATAATACTAATCGACTCGACTGAACAGAACTTATTGTAAAATAATAATATCTATATAAAACATTGTTAATAATAGTATTTTCTTCAACGAGCATGTAATGATGGTTATTACTCACGATGATAAAGTTTGCCCAGAGTGACCTTTTCTACGACCTTTTATTGTTTTAATTAGAAAATATATATATATATATATATATATATATATATATATATATATATATATATATATATATATATAAGCATCAACTACTCGAGATTAAAATTATAATTTACAAAAATAAATTTTGTTTAGCAATACTCGTAGTACTTGGCTAAATAATTGGTTGCTTATTATTAGCCATGCTGTCTTAATGTATTGTAAAAAACACAACAAGAAATAGTCAATGCAAGTTTCATTCATTTCTGAAAATTTATAAGTATAAAGTACCTACTACTGTCATTGTAATAAATAGAAAATGGCTATTATCGGTGAACGTATTTTAAAAAGTTTTAATGTACATTTATATTTAACTATACAGTGATGAGCTCGCTAATAACCGACAGAATAACGCAAAAGATGGAAAACATATTAAGATATGAGATAAAAAGAAATGAAACTAGTAGAGGTGGGAGATTGAGCGATAAAAACCTATAAATTTACATTCTACTTATTGTTTTCCACCTTTCGACGTATCGGAAGAGTTGGCATACTCCTCAAAAACGTTAATAATTTTTTTTCCTATCAAGGAGTGTGTTTATACCCTGTTTTCAAAGATATATAAGCAAAATGAGAATATCTACAATTATAATAGAAATAAAGCTTTCAACTAACACCTAATTCGAATTAAGTACTTACTATCTACTCAGGGTCACGTTATGACCAGTATCACTCGTATCATCTAAATTTATAGTTAATTTGGTTAATGCTGATAAATATTTAACATAATCATTTTCCACTCTGATCACATGTTTTATTACATGTTTCCAGTTAGTTGCTGTGATTTTTTAACTTCTCTTCTAATTAACCAAGTCTAAGCACAGTATGCCCGTTACTAACGTAAAAATTCCTGAATTTGTAATTTATTCCAACTATTATGTGGAGTTTTTTCATTAATCTTTAATGATATGATGCGTTGTCCATGAAAATCACACTATGTTTATGTAATTTCGGAAGAAAAGATTTTTCAAACCATGATTCAAAAATTGAACTTTCCATATCGTCATGATAATCCAGAGAGGAGTCTTTAATTTGTTTTGCAGATATTAATAATGCATCGACAATGCATCTATTTTCTCCACCGCAGTGTAAAATTAAAATCTTCTTTCTTTATTGGGCGGTAGTGAGTTGAAACACTTTTTGTTATTATTTGTCCAACTTTTTTTCACGGTGTCATGAGTATCATACCAGGTCTCATCTAAATACACAATACTTCGTTTCATTTTTCGATACTCAGTTATCTGTCTGATATAACTGTTTCTTAAAGAAATTATTCTAGTACTTTCCATTGGAGTCTGGTGCTTGTCTATAGTTTTGTACTTAAAATTATTGGGTTTAAGAAATAATCGAAGTGTTGTTACTGAACATGAGAGAATGCCCTTTCGAACTAATTCACTTCGAAGGCTTTCAATAGTTGGAAAAATATTAGCCGCATATATTTTGTATATTGTTCTAGTTATAGGTTCAATTAAGTGCGGTTCTATTTCTCTGAATTTGCCACAATCCTTTCTCTTCTCTCTAGAAGATGTTTCTCCTATAATTTTGTAGCAGGTTACTTTGGGCACTCTTTGGTTAAAAAACATGTTTCTGCAATTGCCTTTGATTTAGACAATTCGGTACACAGTCCTTCATAAACACTTTTCAGCATACGTTTGGCTTCATCAGAAAGGTATTAAAAATGTCGCTTACGTTTTACTACACGACTTTGTAAATCTTCCAATTAGTTAGAGGGTTGCATTGTCTCTTCAGCTACAGAATTATTATCGCACCACGGACGCAATATTTAAAAGTATCAAACGTATAAAAACGTAATCACGTAAACACTGAACTAATTTAACTGAACGCTATAGCAGTTCTGGTTATACTAAAAATATTCTTGTTTCCCAAAAATCTGTTGGTCATATCCGCAATTTGAAAATAAAATATTATAAAAATTTGCCTACCTAAGTGTTCCCAAAAATCTTACCCCAAGTATGAATAAGTCTACCGACAAAAGATAACCCGTTATGATTTGTCACAACAGCGATATTGGATGTTTTCACTGACCGTTAGTCCACGTGGACTTATCAACAATTCGATGAAAACTTAACTGGTTGAATGCCCATATTTTAAAATATTATACCAGGCACGTCTGAATGTTAATATCTAGTGGAATCTTAAAACTTTGTATTACTATACATCGGAGTCATTGATAATTTTACACACTCCTGGTAGAATACTTTTTAATTGCCTGATTTTATTACAGATACATATATTTGTACACAGTCTCACGGAAATAAGAGGCTACTTTACATTAAATAATATTATGCAAGAATACTATTTATTAAAAAAAATGGAACAAAATATGTAAAACTATGAACAACGGATTAATGACACATATATTTATTTTATACCTAAAATTTAGCAAAGTGTTAAACATTATGGAGAACACCAGTGCAGTTTACCGTGCCTTTCACTATAACGAAAGGTTTTCTATGAATTCCGTTAATCGTTTAGAGATGTAAGTTGGTTGAATGTACTGTACTGCTTTTGCAGCAGTTTAAAAAGTTACGGTCCTATGAACACAGATACTAAAAAACAGTCTTACTGAACTTACAATAAGAGAACAACCAGAGAACACATTTTTCATTAAAAGAAAATTGGTAAATCATAACACCCAGCAGAAGAGTAGACAAAAACACATCTAGACAGTATAGTCCATTTTCATCATATTGATTGAACATTATGTATGCAAATCCCTAAACTGTTGATACGGGTGACTCAATGAAAAATAGATATTTGTCAACAAGTTTACAGAAGTATATAGGAAAACACTTTTAAATTGAGTATGACCACCAGGTATAAAGGTTGAAGCAGAATAGAATACAATAGTTTTGAGGGTTACTAATACCTAAATAAAGTTGCCAGTGTCGGAGTGATGGAGATTGACAGGTACTAATGAATTTGCAAGAAATGTAAGATGTTTATTTTACTGGTTATATATAAAATAATTTGTGGCCGTAACAGGGGCTGATTGTAAAAAAATGAATATTATTTTAATCAAATTCCATTTCAGATTCACTGCTTTCTTCAGAATCTAAGGAATCTTCAACTCCAATGTTAATTATTACCGGTTCCAGCATTGCATCAGTCATATCCAAATTCCACATTTTATTTTCTTCCTTGTGAGCATGATTAACAGCATTTTTCCAATTTTCTGGAGTTACTTTTGATAAGGAATGTTCTAATAATTGTTGTAAGTATGTTCTAACTGTTGTAAGTATTTAAAAGTTTTGTTGTTGCGTCCGACTTCACCCTTTAATTGGGACCATATATTTTCTATCGGATTCAGATCACAGTGGTATGGGGATAAACGTAAAATAATTACATCACGGTTTAATGCCATTTCATCAATTATATATTTTTTATAAGGTGCTTTATGTTGCCTTACAATAGGTAATAACTCCTTTTTTGTCGAATTCTCCTTGTACTAAATTGCGTGTTTATTAAACCATGCGATTATCTCTCCTTTTTTCCATGCCGTTGTTGGCATAAGGTTATAAGTGTCAGTAAAAAGTGGATCTTACCAATCCATACTTCACAGTTTTAGTTTTAGGTGTGTTTCAAATAAATTTGATAGTGTTAAAAGTTTTAAAAGTCTAATTGGAACTCATACTTTAATTAAAATTAAATTAAATTAAAAAGGAATTAAAAACTGTGTTTCTTTTATGTTCACATAGTTAGATACATATTTTTTAAAGCGGGATACTTACTTAATCCATTCAAATTCTTAGATATATCGTCGTCAAAGTCTATAAGGCTATCGCTGGCCTCTAATGGTGGTTTGGTAGTTGGAGGTATAGCTTTGGCCAGCACAGCAGAAGCTGACTGCTTAATACCGACATCTCTATTTTTCTCCCATCTACTATATCTTAAAAATAGATTGTTGAGTTCGTCGTTAATTCTGAGCAACTCTTCACACAGCCCATCGTTGGAAATTTTGCCTATCAATTCTACCAGTCTCTGTTGCATGCTCTGACAAGTTGCATGTAATTCCTAAAATTACATAAATTTTTTAGTTGTATTAGAAGCATTTAGGATTTTATAGTAAAAAATAAAAGAAATAAAATATTGATGTCCATTACATCCCCCGCTACTGCTAAATGAGCTAGAGTATTGGCAAACCAGTCCGAAGATCTTTATCCTGGCTAATTTTTAGGAGAAATACGAAAATAAGATCAAATACGACTGATAGTCCGGCAGCAGGGTACCTTTCAGTATGCATAGAAGGGTGGATAGTTAAAAAACTATTCTACCTCATGTAGGTCCCCATCTCAAAAAGTGGTACCAATTTTTATAAAAAAAATTTTATAAATAAATTTTCAAATTTGAATATTTTAATTTACAACTAGTTCCATCGTAAAGTACGACTAAAAATACATTAAAAGTTTATATGTAGTTTAAAAGTTATTAAAATTTTTAAGCTGAGAAATCGCAGATTTGGTCTAACTTTTAGTCCTCATAACGTTTTCTATGGTGCAATTTTCTTTAAAAGCTGCACATGAATAAAAAGTTAGAACCTATTTTAACAATTTACTATTCCTGCACACATGGGCGAGTACGTGTTCACATTATACGTGCTAATTAGTAGCTATTTTAAAGTTTCAATACCTGCTCGATGCCGTCGAAAAATTAATTATCTTTTATGTGGATTTGACACCTTGACAACCAAAACAATGGGTTGCTATAAAGTTCTTGTTAAAAACTCTTATAATTGTAAAATGGAGATTTAGATTTAATTTGATAAGTCCTAAATTTAATTACTTTTCATGAGTTATCGAGACTTGAAAATGGCTATTTTCGCGCTTTTGACCTTATATTGTTTTTAACCCGAAAAGGATGATTTTAAGAGAAAAGTTACTAGTTCGACCCGTAGTACTGATGTGGTACGAGCTCCTGCCCCGGGGCTTTGAGTTTTGATAAATACCAACCGTCCTTCCCGTAAGAGTTTCCGCTACTTGTTCGTTTTCAAGTAGTGATCAATCGGCCACCTCTAACCTAGACTACGGATTGATTTGATGTCTTCTCCGGATTTTAGGCATTGACTAAAATATCGTCCTTTGCCTTATCTATCCTAGTATCACCAATATTTATTTTTAGCAGATATCAACAGCGGACATCCGTCAACATTTATTTACTAGCATTCGTAATTTTATTTTATTTGACATATTATATTATACGAATAGTGCTCAAAGAAACAATGTATAACCTCGGGACGGGATTGATACTATGAAGAAAAGCACGGCAAGAAATAAAGACAAGCAAAAAATATCCAACACCCAGATGAGAATAATTACATGAAATATCAGGTCGCTCAACTCAAGGGACCATTAAATAACCCAACTGTCGAAAGAGAAACAAATATACATTTACGCTCTACAGGAAAAAAAAGACAGGAAAAGAACAATCAAAATCAGGTACATCAGAACATACTAATCTAAAGTAGAGTAGCAACTGAAAACAAGGGCACAGAAGTGTAGCATTACTAATACACCAAAGGTACCAAAATCACATCAAAGAGTGTCAATACATATCAGAAAGGACTGTAATAGCAAAGATAAGAATGGAGAAGGAAGCCCTGAAATCATCGGAGTATAAGGCCCAAAAAACAAATTTCAAACAACAAGAAAAACGTTTAATGGCGGATTATAACGAGTAGTAGATCAAGGCAGAGGGAAGATGATAATATTGGAGGTTTTACTGCTCGAATGGGCAATCAAGTAGTACCCAGAATTAAGCAAAAGCATAACGAGACTGTTAAAAACGAAAATGGAGAACTGATGATAAACTTTTGCACGAATAACGAACTTAGAATAAACAACACATTTTTTGAGAACCAACAAAACAAAGGCCAACAGAAATATACATTCAATAACACCCGTGCACAAGTATCTATGATGGATTGTTATAACTAACAGAGATATAAATCCAACAAAAATAATCGACATAAGATGACTCAACTCAGCAGATGTAGGTAGCGACCATAGCTTCATCATCATCACAGTCATTAACATCTTAGTAGATGTGTTGTGGTTCATAATTGGGCTTCAGCAGCTCGGACAGTTTGATTGATAATATTTCTCCACTGTATAGTATTATGAGACTAGCTAGACCATAGCTTAGTATTATGTAAAAGAAGAATAATCATGCAATGCTTCACACCCAAGAGAGTGGCGCCAACACAAACAAAAATGAGAGTCGAAGGACTAAAGGCGGAATCCACGAAATACTTATACCGAAAAAGAATATCAGAGAAGATCACTGGAAATGAAATACTAGAATCCGATAACATTGGGGAAAGCTGGCAAAAACTAAAAAATAACATAATTAACGCAATATCATAGAGAGAGGAAAGTAAACGAACACGAACATATCAAAAAAGAAAACCCATGGTTTAGAGAGGAAATAAAGACACAATGTGAAGAAAAGAAGAAAACCTTTTTACAATACAGAACACAACAAACATAACAGGCATATAACCACTATAAGCGAATCAGAAATGACACGAATACTTTAGTTAGACAAATAAAATGGGAACACTGGCAGAGGTTCTGAAAACAAATGGAACACGACTTTTACAAAACACAAAAAGAAATATGAGAATGATCAAAAGACAAATAAAAGAGATGAATGAACTAATAAAAATTAAACACATTCAGAAGGAAACATGTGCAGACTATATTCGATTCCTATTTGCTAAAGGTGACGATAATGAACCACCAACACCAATTATGACGACAAACGAAGAAATAAATATTGAGGAGGAAGAGGTAAAGGAAGCATTAAGGAAATTAAAAAACAGAAAATCTCCGGGACAGGACATAATACCAAACGAACTCCTAAACCTAAAGTACAGAGGACCAGATCTGACCAAACAACTATTAAAACTAATCCAAAAAATAATAGAACAAAACAGAATTCGTCAAGAATTGGGAGACTTCTCTTCAAAAAGGGAGACAAATGGGACCTGTAAAATTACAGAGGAATTAATTTATTAAACACAATACTAAAATTAACAACCAAAGTGAAAACAAATAAACTGAATGAAATTATGACACTAGCAAAAGAATAACAAGGTTTGACGTCGGGAAGATCATACACCGACGCTATATTTATAATGGGACAAGTGCAAGAGAAATCGTTAGAATAAAACAAACTAGCATATCTGTTTCGGGAAAGTTAAGAAGGCATCTGATCAGGTCAAATTAAAGAACGTTATCTATTTATTGTACACAAGAGAGATACTTCTAGGAATAATCAAAACGATCGAAAATATCTACGAAGAGGTATCTCTCTTGCATACAGTAAGTATCTGAATCAATTCTGAATCTTCAATCAGAAAACTGGCTAGACGACTTGGAAGATCAGATCAGGATAAGGACATACGCAACTCAAATCCATTCAACATGCAAGCTTGATCCATTCCCTCTACATTGCATTTTCGTCCACTTTGATATTTTGAGTCGTCCAACTGAATCTGAGGTCAAGGAGAATTTATGGTTCCAGAAAACAAAATTAACGTACACATAACGGAACCACCACAATGGCTTTTTAGCTTCTATTTGTAGTGTTTGATCTTAGAACTTTTCCATAAAAAATTTGCAATAACCGGGCTTAACGGACTTCCCATTGTAATCCAAAAGACTGATCTTGAGAGGCAGATGAGTATAGCGGCACACATATACAGGGTGAGTCATAACTATTGGGACATAGACTAAAGACAAGTTATTTGGACCAAAATATGGCTATTGGGCCAAATATGCCTTAATAAAATGTTGCTGAGAAAAAAGATACAGGGTGTTAAAGTTAATTTTTGTTTTTCGTTTTTTGCTAATAGTTTCCCTGTATATTTATAAATTGCTATCAAAATTGGCACAGAGGCATAATCTTAAACAAGAAATAGTATTTTATTTACAATTCCACTATCAAATACCTAACTAATAAACAAAGTTACAACTAACGTAAGGTTTCCGTTTTGACGATAAATCAAAACTAAACACACTTTAACTTAAAAGAACTCCCAAAAACTCAAACTAAATGTTCTACATGGTCTCCTCCGATTTCTATGCCTTTTCTAATTCTTTTTATAAAGGATTTTCGGACGTTAAAAAAAATATTACTTTGTCCTCTTATAAGATTAGCTGCATTTTTAATGTATCTCCAAAGTTCGTCTGGTGTATTAATTTCATTGGCATAAACTAAGGACTTCATATGTCCCCAAACATAAAAATCTAGCGGGTTGTACTCAGGACTTCTTGGTGGCCATTGAAAATCACTGCCTCTGCCAATCCATCGTTGAGAAAATACGTCATTAAAATCATTTCTAACAGCTAATGAAACATGAGGTGGCGCTCCATCCTGCATAAACGACATTTTTCTTCTTACATATAGTGACAGATCATCTAAAATATCACTAAGAGTATTTTCCAAAAAGAATAAATAAGAATCTCCATTTAAATTCGGAGGAAGAACATAAGGCCCTAGTAATTGGTATTTAATTGGCCCCAGATATTTAATTTAAACTCATGCTGAAAATGTCTAGCTTTAATAGCATGCGGGTTTTCTTCTTCCCAATAATGACTATTTTACCAATTAAAAACCCCTCGGCTGGTAAAAGTTGCTTCGTCGGTGAACATATTATTCTTCTTAATAAAGTGTCTGTCATTGCGATGTTTATTCAGAATACGTTGGCAAAACTGTAACCGTCGTGGAAGATCTGTTGGAAGTAAATTTTGAACAGGAGTGAAGTGATAAGGTTGGAGGTTCTCTTTTTTTAGAATTCGAACAATAGACGACTGACTTACTTCTGTTGCTGCTGATAGATGTCGTGAACTTATTTCAGGATTTTCATCTACTCGAACCAAAAGTTCATCTTCTTGATTAGGTATGATTTGTTTCGGTCGACCACCCCGATTTTTACTGTGAAATGACCCAGTTTCACCTAAACTACGATATAATCTTGCAAAAGTTTTGTGATTTGGTTGCCTTCAGTTTGC